AATTTCAATTAACTCATATTGGGTTTTTATAGAATTCACATTTGCTACCATCAATTCCGCATAAGATTTCTATACTTAAAAGTTTCGATTCATTCGGATCTATGAATTTCAGTTTAATTTATTTTATCCGCTTCATATTACATTTGACAATTGAGTGAAAGCAAAAAAACAATTGCTTTTTATTTATTTATTTATAAACGTGTTACCACAAAACTTATTAAAATTACAAAAAGGGAAATACCATGATATAATATGTCAAAATTATGTATTTAAATAAATAGACTGTATTTGAATTTATTAAGCCAGTAGGTTGAAAATGACTTTAATACCCTTCTGATTTAATGAAAGACATGAAGATTAGACAGTTTTGTGTTAGATTGTGTCAGCTGTAATTATGACATACTATTAGTTTAAAAATAAACAAATATATTTTCTCTTTCATCATTTTGTTTTCCTTTTTTTGTTTGACCTAATACTTTGTTTAAAAGTTGATTTTTTTAATATTTGTATATAAAAAACCAGATATTTTTTCTGCATATATTAGAATTTGAAAATTTGAAATCGACATATATTACACAAATTATTCGTATAATATTTCAATGAAACGTAACATTATATATGACATACCATAATATATTATTTATGCAATTATATTCACATACGAAATATCACATACCATAACTTGAAAATGACATGATCACATTTTCTTATGTTTGTGATTAACCAAACTATTTATTTAATCTCATAATGAAACGTAATATAGTATATTATATACGATATATCTTCTGTACGATATAACATGTTATATGGAATATAGCATGTTTCCTATAACATGTCATATTTTAACATGATATGTCATGTTATTATTATATGATTTGCTACTTACGAATAAACATAGTAATATGTTTTGAAAATTGTTTATAGCATGATGAATATGATATGTAGCATGATATATATTAGTATGATATACCATGTTATATAGTAAAATGACATGTTATGTGATATATCACGTTCATTGTAACATTATAAATAGTTTTCGTAATTTATGTCCATTTCTAAAATTTCAAATTGTAATATACGGAAAAAAAAATCTTGTCTTTTTTTACATATAGATTATGAGATGAATCAATTTTCAAAGAAACTATTATATCAAAAAAATATCAAATGGAAAAACTATTTGATGAAAAAAAAAAATTTAAAATAAAAACAAAAGCGAAAAAATTGTCACTTTATGTCACATGTGTCGGATTTGCTGATGGTGTGGCAATAGGTTATTTTCGTCTACATTTTGTTCTCTTACCTGTCCATGCTAATTAATCATGAAAGTGTCTATCACCTAACAATTCAAGTTATAATATGATATTAACCTAAATGACACAAAAAGGTATTCAACATAAATTTTTTCTTAATGTCATTATTTTACTACACAATTTTACATAATGACGAAAAGAGATTAGTTTTGTTGATCAATAAGTTTCGATATGAATTACAAAGAATCCATAAATAGATGGTAAAGAGAAGATTTTGTCGCTCGTTCGTCGTTTGTTGTGAGCACTGCCAAAATTCTTGTCGCTCGTCGTTGAGAGGTGACAAAAATTTTGTTTGTTAGTTTTTTTTTGTGTGTGTTCTCATCACCTTGTCCTTTTGTTGGGACTCTTGTATTTATAGACTTTGTAAATCCTAGTCTTTGTTGGAGTAGGCATGTTTCTCGCTGGTTCATTCTAGCTCTTACTAGAGTAGGACGTTATGTCGGTTCTTCGTCATATTTTACTTAAATTGGAATATGTTGGAAGTGGAGATTGGTTGGATTATTTAACCATTGATTATTAATAAACCGGTATTAAGGTCGTCGGTCAATGGTCAGTCCATAAACTAAACGTCATCGCTGGTCAAGACTGTTTGTTAGTGTTCACAATTTTTTGTTTTCTCGACTGTAGTTGAAACAACCCGACCCGTTTTTTTTTTTTACATTGAATCAGATTATCATTCCCATAAATGATAATCCTCAATAATCCAATCAATTTCACAAGTCAACAAATAACCAGCGGAAATCAAACTAAACCTTCAAACCAAACAATTCCATTATCAATTTAACCAATCATTCAAAACAGTCAACCAATATTCCAACAACCTAACCCGTTCTAATCTG